TAAATTAGATTACTAAAGAAATTTTCATACACTTTCTTTTTTTCGTTCGTCTCGATGTCTGTCTGTGCACTTGCGAGCAAGAGAATATTCATCATCCGGATAAGGAAGAGTCTCAACCGGATGTCGGAACCATCGAATCGAGATCGAGGATCCCACGACTAATGGATGAACCTAACCTAAACCGTGATACAAACACACAGAGAGTGCACGAACCGTTGTTTCGTGTTAATTAGCGATGTCTAAACATCCATATTGATAGATGATGGTCTCCGCGAAAACCGGAAGTCTCTGTTTAAGTCTTTATTTTCATGCGTCCGATCCCGGCCGATAGTCCATAGGCTTTTCACTTTAATTGACTTTAATTGAACAGAGAACAGCGTCTGTACTTCTCCATTCACGTTTCTCATTGCGTTTCTCGAATGTATTGTTTTCCTATATATTTGACAACAATTCTTTGGAGAGAATTTCTTCTTCTGTCGTAAGAATTTTTCAACAAGAGAAGCCCTCGTAGCGACCTTTTTGTCGCCGGTTTTGTCCGAGTAATTTCGTCCTTAGGAAAAAGAAGTTCTTGCCCAAGTCGGGAAATAACTCGCTCGTTGTCAAGCACAGACAACAAAGAACATCGACTGTCTGGAAAAGAGAAGCTCGGAAAGGAAAACTCCTCTCAGAGAAGTTGAACATTTCCTGAGATCGATAGTTAAACTTCCGTCTGTACTTTGCATCTGGCGATAAAGTCTGGATTTTTCCAATAGTTCTCGACACCGAGGTTTCTCGAATCGTGGATTGCGGGAAAGGATCAAGATTCGGAGAGCCGAAATTTTTCTTAAAATATCAAACCTAATTCCCCTAACTGTTTACGTAGAAACGACACAATTGTCAATTAAAATATTTTTTTATTAGACAGAAATTTAAGTCCTTGCTGTTAAGTTTCATCATCATCATCATTATTATTATTTTTATTATTATGCTTATGTTATGGATTTCAAATTTTTGAAATATTATTGGTCAAATTAAATTGAAAGATGAAAATCTTTTTATAAATTTTAAATGATGATCTTGTTTATCATCACAAAGATTAAGTATTTATGCAGAATATCATAAATTCTGTTGGGAAATTATTCTACGACTTGACGTTACAAACGCCAATGTTCTATTTCTATACGTCTATAAATCTTTCTAAAATTAATTTTATCGTGTCACCATATAATTTCTACTTCTGGCTTTATGGTCCATTTGTATGTTGTCAAAGATGAGGAGCTCAAGTTGCAAACGTAACACTTTCCCCTCCAAAAATATCTCCAAATTTCTCACTTACTTCACCGCTTGAAATTTCCAAAATTAGAATTACTATTTAGTGTCGAGTTAGCTTCATAAATAAATCTCCCCTTCGTCGCTTGACGTGTTCTCGAAAGTTCAATTACGAAATCACTTTAATATCGTTTAATATCAGATTTAATTTCACAATCGCGCTGCCAATCATTTTCACCAGACAGATAGATACGATAACGTGTTTGCATGTACAGTGTTTGCGTGTGTTTGTCTGTTTGTCAGAACTGTAACTTGCAAGAGCCGAGCATGCACCCCGGTCCCCGCCAGATGAACCCGGAAACCCTTGATTTCTCCAACGAGAACGATCTGTCGAACGTGAACGTGAAATCGCTGGTAAGTCTCGCTCGCCGCCCCGAAACCTAACGCAGCGGGATCATCTTTTCTTTCACGCTCCTCCACGGTGAAACGAATTTCCAAGCGAGCGCGCAAAGTGGCTGCAATCTTTCCTCCCCCCCCCCCCGTGCAACGTCGATCGCGCACGCGATTGCGATTCAGTAAATTGTCCGTGATCAGATTCGATTCAGCCGGTGGTTGCCCGTTACGTGAGACACGGTCGACGTAAATCCGCCACGTGGCTCGCGTATTCCGTTCACGCGACCGACCAGAGAGGAATCTCCACTCGCGTGCGGCCATCATTTCTTTCGGATTTTTTTTTTTCTTCTCGTCTCGAGCGAGAAAACGCGGTCCCCGGAAAAACCGTAAGCTCGATAAATACAGTCGGTATTGCTTCGCGACTCGTTCGAGATCGAGATCGACACGCAGAGTTCAAAAGTCTCCGGGCCAGGGAATATTACGTTCGTTTTCTCAATTCGAAGTTCTAAAATTTTTAAAATTGCAAACTTTGCACGTGATACTGATAATCGAACGATTTTTTTTTTTTTTTTTT